AAGCCTTTGGCTATTGTCAAAGAAGAAGAACGGAGGATAAAAAATAGGAGACGAGAACGGAAAAGCGTCACAGCTGATCTGTTAGGTAAACACTGCCAAATTTCGCAAGAATCAATTCTTATCTCTGGTCAAGTGCTTTAAGCCACGTTCACGTCTATGAGTTTGTACAGTAGCAGAAGTAAAGCTGTGTAAAAACTTATCTGTGGCCTTGTGATTTATTTTAACGCCGATTATGACTTACCAGGTATAACATTTTCGTTAAGAGAATCTGAATGAAGGTAGCCTGACAAAGTTAGTTCGGATAAATTTTACCTAACCCATGTGTAAGATGCTTAGCATGGGAAAAACGTGATCATTGTACAGCACACCAGATAATCTCCCAGGCGAGATTTCAGCGAAATGGAGTGATCTTCAATTTTAGGGACGCTCAATTTTCAATTTTTTACACGTTCAGTTCAATTTTTGGACCGGACAACTACTTCTTCCCAGTTTGTGAGTGCAAACGAAGATGTAACAGTTTTTAGTCTAACGGGATTCCGCTTAAGGTAAATTTTCTGTAGTTTCTGTGCTAATGGATTTTGCAATATCGCTAAACCTATAAGATGTTAAATTCTGTTTTCATTTTTCTACATCCTGCCAAGAACAAAAATAAGTTCTTCTGCAATTTGGCCTATAATTACGCAGGCGTAACCCCTATGTTCTGTCACTAATTTACCAGACACTTACGCAGTTTTGCATAAAAAATAGAATGTTTGCTTACGATTTATAAAGGGTACCATAAAGCTTCGATTTTAATTCTACGAAAAATACAGGGTGGTCCATGTGTAGTGTGATGGGCTAGAAAATCCATTCCGAAAACAAATCTTGGAGGATGCGGCGATTTCTTGGGCCAAAGAAAGCGCTGAGGACCATGACTGGACCTTCCAACAAAACAAAGAAGACGCTGGAACGGTGTAAGACCAAATTTCTAGACGACGGATATTTGACCGTCAAGCTCGCTCCACCGTAATCCTTTGAATTTTGCTAACTGGTCGATCTTGGAGCAAAAAGCCTGCTGTTTTAGGTACAAGTCACTGGGTTCGCTAGAACGAGATCTACTGAAGGTCTGGGACGAAATTTCACGAGGAATTATCGAGCACATTTTCGTACTTGTGTTGAAAAAAAGACGATCATTTTGGAATATGAACTGAGAGATCTCATGTGGAATTTTTGTGTCTTTTGAATAAAAGCAAATATTTCTTATTACAATTAGTTGGTGGTTGTGAGTAGTTTTTTGTGTCACATTTCATGTGGACCATCCTGAATACTAGCAAGAATACAAGATTGCTCTACTCTCATGAATATACAGCTAAAATAGGGAGCGCCTACAATAGCCCGTATACTTGAATCTCATAGGAAGCTAACCGAAGTCTGTTTTCTTTCCAAGATGACGACTTTCAGAGTATGTGTCTGTGATTTCCTTCAAACAATTCCATATAATTCCTTGGTCCTGCTGCAAGTGCTAGACACCCTAATCCCAGAATTCATATAGAAAATGCTCATTATCTAATCCGAGGTAAATATCTGCATGCTCTTTCGAATTTTCCTACCCTCCAGAAGTTGGCTTCTTTTAGTGTGATTAGCTCAGTAGCTGATTTGTTTTCTACCCATTCTAGGGCGCGAATCTAAATTAAAAAAACCTGCGTTGTTGATGAGTCTTCCTTGTTGACGGCTCTCACGTTTATATTACTGGTTTTATTTGTAACACTTGCCTCGAACATTGTACTAAATTGCTGTTATTACCGTATATTCTAATAAGCAAAGTGACCACGCGAAAATCAGCCTGCTGATGACGTCATCGCACAGTCCGCTCAGTGCTCTTCGGTTGATCCGCTTCTTGAGCGGTCATTTTGCCTTATCAGTCTGGACTGTTGACAGGCTGGAGACTAATTATAACGGCGTCGTATTAGCTATTAATAAGTCAAGCAATACGAATGATTTACGCTACTGACACTTGTTTTGAGCCGACAAAAAGATCAGATCGGCTCAGAAATGTAGAAGATCAATAAAGACTGGGGAAGAAATTCTAAAACAATTTCTTACTAGCGGAAACTACAATGAGCCTCGGGCAACTCGGACTTCCACAAACAGCAGAGGGTAAGACAAATACCTGGAAAATTCGTAATAAATATGGGTTACCGTTAACACTGCAAAAACTTACCATTCACACTTCAAGTAACCTAATTACCGCAAAAATAAGTCCATCCAGTTTTCCTGATGCTACGTGTAATCAGAAATTATCACCATTTGCGTAAATTCGTAGGAAATTCACACATGTTATATAAAGGTTACCTTATTTATGAAAAACAAAACCTTACTGGTTTACTTGAATCGATCAATAACTTTGTGCAGATTTTGAGGCATAAAAATGACCACTTTTCAATCCCTTTTCACCTTATGAGGAAACATTTATTGTTTGGACCTTTTCCGTTCAACTTCTGGGCATGCGCCTTGGAAGGCTTAAAAGTAAGCTGCCAAAATTTGAAAATTTGCGAGCGCGACGTTAAGAAATTTCTGAAGAGGAATTTCTTCAAAGTTTCGAGCATCATTGGCATTCTTATATCCCAGAAAACTTCCGCTGAAACATCCGCTGACAGCAAATGAGCCCATGATATCTAGACTATGATCCAGTGATATAAAACACGAAGTTCGTCTGACAGAAGAGGTGATCATATGGAAGTGGAAAAGGCAACCTATTGTCGCTCAGCGGAAGTTCATTCGAAACCTAGCCAGGCGAAAGGGCGAAACAGCGAGGAGGGTTTGCGCGAAGATCGGTCGAATGTCCGTGAGTTTAACTTATACTTCAGCTGATATGTCGTCAGACGAGCTCTTCCAGTTGTTGTGAAGATTTAGAAGGAAGTTGGAACACATTCTTTGCTTATACGGAACCGCAACAGTCAGTTTTAGCTTCAGTTTTCAAAATAAAGTCCGCAAGATGTTGGGAGTTATTTCTGCGAGTTATTAGGAAACTGCTGGAGTAATCTTAAAGAAATAACGCCTAAACTTGGATCAGTTGAGTATGCTCGGAAATTCTTTAGTCTTGTAAAATATCTGGCTGGCGTCTTCTCCATCGGATCTCTGAGGAAAGGACTTTACTATGGGCCTATAGCCTACTTTATTCTCGTATCACTATGGATTTCTAGGCTCACGCCTCATAAAAGTTTAACTCTACCCAAAACTTTCACCATCATAAGGCCAGATCCGTAAGGAACGCAGGACATCTCTGCCCAAAACAGTAGTGTCTGCAAAAAGTCTCACTTTTTCCTCTATTTTTCTATGACAGAACTAGCAAAAGCAATTTCTCAAACACTGAACCTTGTTAAACTATTAGAAGCTACTATACTTCGGAATAAATGAATAGTTCAATGAGATTCGACTTTTGGACAGGCGTAATTTTTGAATAGAGTTCGATGGTTCCAATACGCTCAATTTTCCAATTTTTGTTAAAAGAACTAGCTATTTTAATTTATCCAAATTTCAAATGTTTCACTAATCCAGCTTCCAGATTTATTCAAATTTCGAGTACTATAAGAAACTCCGTTCGTATTTCCTTAATATTTGAATTGCCGAGGAACTCTGCCGAGGAACGGATCAACTTTACATACGAACAGCTGATTGCTGCAACTTTCAGAAGTTTTTCATTCGAAAAAATAGACGTTCATCTGATTCAAATAAAAATTCGAATAATCTTCTACCCGGATGCTCGTTTATTGGGGAAAAATAATGCTTCGAATTTGGAAGAATTTCGTCTTCTTGAAAAGTTTCCGAAAAAAATTAACTTTTAGCTATTCTAAAAATTTTTCGAATGAATTTATTCAGTAGTCGTTCTTTAAATAAATAGAGAAAGCAGGTGTATAGAGACTGTTTATTAAAGTTTTACATTTGAAAATATTTCGAATATTCGACTTTCTCGAATTCCGAAAGTTTTCGAATTTTCGACAATTTCGAATAATAGGGTTTCTCGAATTTTCGAATATTCGACTCGAATAATCCAACTTTTCGAATTTTCGAATTTTTCGCAAATGAATATTCGGATCTTACCCAATTCGTCCAGAACCTTACTGTCCATTCTTGCAGATTGCGGAATAACTTACAGAAGCACCTCCAACCGTCTTTTAACGAATTCTTCATGAAACAGGGATTTCTAGTGGTTTTCTTTAAAAAATATTATTAATTTCTCTGAAAATATTTTCTACCTTAGCTGTCTCACCAATTAAAACACTCACTTACAGAGTTATAATCTTTTTTCGAGATACCATCAGAGTTAGTTGCTTTTGAGTAGATTTGCCCCACTATTCTAGGACTTAACTCATTTTTCTGCGACCGAGCATTTACTTTTTGCTTCAAGTTAAATGAAAATCTCAGAAAAATGTAAATTCAGAAAGATAACCCTCAAAATTTATGTTTCTTCGAGAGAATGTCATATCATACCGCCTGCTTACTAGAAGCGCTGTCAGATACTCTGCTTCGTGGCGAGATGGCCGAGCGGTCTAAGGCGCTGGTTTTAGGCACCAGTCTCTTCGGAGGCGTGGGTTCGAATCCCACTCTCGTCAACGTTTTGCTTTTCGACCACGCTCAACTGTGTAAAAGTGGCTTCATTACGCAAAGATTTTTGAGTGTTTCACTTCTTTTTGCAGGCTTATTTCATTTTTAAAAAATATGGAAACTTTAGATTGTTAATCAAGCTTGCTATGTCGTAATTTTAATAATTCCTTTATTCTGCACTTATTTAGTAAATTATTAGTCTGGTGTTTTAATTTATTTTTGCATAAAGACCTTTTTATAAAAACAAACGAAGCCAGTAATACAGAAAATAAATATTAGGTTTAATGGCAAATGTGTTAGCGAAATAGTATCACAGATAGTTGACATACTAACGGAAGCGTCCTAAAAGTACATATAACAGTAGAATTAACTGTATTTAAAAATTCTAAGAAAAGCGGAAGACATCTGGGTTAAGAAATTTTCAGAGAACTATTTCTGTGGCAATATAAAAAGTACCAATTCGTTTGTTTGAGGTATTTTATGAACCTTTTTTTTGCGATTGTTTACTCATTGCATCATTGCTTATTTGTCTTCCGGTTTCTTGTTACTTATTTATTTATTTGCCTATTTATTATTTATTTATTTGCTTATTTACCTACTTACCTACATGTTTATTTATTTGCCCACTATGATTATGCCTTGAAAAGCTAAAAAATGTTAGAAAACTCATTTATTTATTTATTTATTTATTTATTTATTTATTTATTTATTTATTTATTTAAACATTTATTTATTTATTTGTTCATTTATTTATTTAGTTATCATTTACCTACTTAGCAAGCATCCCTTGGAAGTAATCAAGAAATTTTAAATAGTTAAGAAAAAGTAGAAAGGAAAATTTTAAAAATTCAAAGAGATTTTCAAAGTATTGGTTACTAACATCTACTGAAAATGATAGAATAATTAAAGAGCATCTGCAATGAAAAAGTCAAAGAGTCGGTAAAGAATAAAAAATAAATAAATATAAAAAATAAGTTGTATTAAATTAATTGCTTGAATAAATAAATCAAATTAATTAATCAAATAAA